AAAAAAAAAAAAAAAAAAAAGTCCAGTTTGGCAGAAAATTTTGTACTGTCTTCTGGGGACTGCCTCCTCTACCCTTCTTGAATTTTTTCAGAACCTGTGGGGTTCTTTAAGTTTCAGAAGACACCCCTCTTTTGCATGTCAGAAGGAGGGAAGAAAAAGGTAATCATCCTGTTGTTTCCGCTGTTGTTTCTGTTGCTGTGTCATTGCATTGAAACTGGTCCTGCAGTCCAGTAATGGTTGACCTTTGCCACCAGGATGCCCTCAAGTCTTCATGGTGATCCATACATAGATTTCAAAGTTAAACTTTTTTTGCTTCACATGCATATGTTTATATGCTCAGGCATTGTTCCCAGCATCCTGCTCTGGCAGCTGAGCCTCCTGGCATTATCCACATACATAGTGAGCCAACTGACCCTTCATCCCTCACTCAGAACCTAGGTGGAGCCAACATCTTAGCTTAGGCTTAGCCAAGAGCTTTATGTTAAGTTATCCTTTAGGCCCTCGGGTTCAGTTCAAATAATGTGGCAGAAAGAGATGAGTTTCCTTTTCTCAGTGTTACCAGATCTGTACGCTGAGAGCCCTGTATATCCAGTATAGTACTTTTTCTTAGATCGTGCAAGGTCCTATATTATCCTTCCCAAGAGTTGTAGCAGGAAGCTATCACCAGAATTCTGAGTCTCAAGTATGTTAGTTGGATTTAACAGAGCTAAGCCTCTTTCATGACTCATGAGTATCCACGTATAAAAGGAGAGCTTTGTACTTGCTTCAGCAGCAAACATATACTAAAATCGAAACAAAATGCAGAAAAAGTTAGCACGGCCCCTGCATAAAGCTGATGTACAGATCTGTGAAGTGGTCCATATTTTGCACTGTCACTGGAAGTTCATTTGACTGTTTGCTGACTAGCTCCAAAGAAACAGTGTGAGTCAAAGCAAATTGGGTGTAACCTAATATTAAAATTGTGATTTTCACTACAAAAATATGCAGTAAGGGGATCTATGGAATGAGAATTAAGCTGAGTAACGTGTGGGATGTGTGTGCAAATATATTGTTAGTATGTATCTCAGAAATGAGAGAATGTCAACTTGCATCTCTTTCATGGAACTGAAAAAAATAAAAGTAGAATTTTGTTTTCCATGTCAGTTGGAGGTTAACATGGGGATTGAGCATCATTCTAACAAAGATCTGCCAATTCAGAGTTTGAGTCTGGAACAGTAGTCCAAGCTAGGTCTTGACATCTGTTAGCTTTCTGCCCTTAGTGTGATTGATGAGTTCAGTCGTAGTGGACAGTGATGTTATCTAGTTTGATGGAATAATATATTTATAAGAAAATTTAGTTACAAACTATGAAATAGTCGTGATGCCCCGAATTATAAGCCACAAAGAATGGAACAACTGATAAGCAAAACTAGGGCTTAATAACAGTTTCAGAAAACTGCAATGGGAATTTTAGAACCTCTGAAAAAATACACATTGGGAAATAGTTTTGGCAATAAAGTTCAAGAACAAATTATTTCATTGCTTCACTGTTTATTTGAGCATTTTCAAAACATTATTTCATTAAATCTTTAACAACCTAGTGAAATAAGCCAGTAAAATCCTTGCTTTTTAGAAGAATACATTGAGCCTAAGAGAAGCGACTTGTTAGAGAACAAGTAGCTGCTGGTGACAGAGCTAGGACACTTTCCATTATGTCAAGCGAATGTGAGTTAATTTATACTGAGCCATACTCCCTTCAATTTAGGAGTACTTCATCTTGTTTTCTTCTTTAAAAGCTTAAAGAGAAGTTGGTAGAACTCGCAAATTAGTATATAGGATGAAGTCCTGATATTAACTCTGATATTGTTTGAAATACTCTAAAAATTTAATATATTTGGTATTTTTCATTTGTTTTAAAATAGTAATTTCATTTATTACATTTTTATCCATAGCATTCAGCAACTAATTTCTGAATATAAGGAAAAACAGACACCCAAAAGTCTTCCTCAAAATAACAATCCAGGTAAGACTTCTGATAGTGAATTATTTTTCCTGGTCCTATAGATAAAAAAGTAAGAGTAAGGAAGTTTTGATCATGAAGAGCAGTTTTTTAAAAGCCCTGTGTGTGTAAGTTGCTTGTATATTTTTCTCTTAATTTCTTTCTTGGTAGGTTAGATTTCTCAATTATTTAAAAAGTTAATTGCAGGTCATTTATTATCTTAAACAATCTTGTCTGAAAAAAATTATGTAATTATGGTCCCTAAAATCCTATATGATATATTCGTTTAAATAACAAAAAGGTATTTTTAAGTTAGTAAGTTGTATGTTTTCTTTATTGTCACATTATAATGAATTAGACTTGTTATGAAATTGGAACTTCTATTTAATTTTTAAAATAAATGGCTTGTGTTTAGTAAATGAGTATCAATCACAGTTGACCTTAATAACGTGGGATTTAGGGATGTTTGATTCCCCCTGCATTCAGAAATCTGTGTATAACTTTTGAGTCCCCCAAGAGGGTGACCAGCAGCTTATTGATAACATAAACAGTCAATTAAGATGTGTTTGGTATGGTGTATGTATTAATATGCTGTATTCTTACAATAAAGGAAGCTAGAGAAATAAACTTATTAAGAAAATCATAAGAAAAAGTAAGTTTACTATTCATTAAATGCAAGTGGATCATTATATAACTCTTAATCATAGTGTTCAAGTTGAGTAGGCTAAGGAGGAGGAGAAAGATTGGTCTTTGCTATCTGAGGTGGGAGAAAATCTGCCTATAAGTAGACCCCTGCAGTTCAAACCTGTGTTGTTCAAAGGCTAGCAGTATTACATAGTGATTTGTGTCACTAAAGTAACACAAAGTAGTTTCAAAACTGGAAAATCAACACTGCCTTTCTGGCACCATAAGCAAACGGCAATAAGAACTGCAAAATTGCCAGGTGTGCTGGCCCACAGCTGTAGTCCCACACATTGGGAGGCCTAGGCGGGAGGATTGCTTGTGTTGGGAAGCTCCAGACCAGCCTGGGCAACATAGTGAGACCACGTCTCTACAAAAACAAGTAAAAAATTAGCTGGATGTTTTGGTGCACATCTGTAATCCCAGCTACTTGGGAGGCTGAGATGGGAGGATCACTTGAGCCTGGGAGTCGAGGTCGCAGTGAGCTATGATCGTGATCATGCCACGCACTCCAACCTGGATGACAGAGTGAGACCCTGTCTCCAAAAAAGAAAAAAACCCTGCAAAACATACCCAGTGTGCATACTAATAGGAAATTATTTTTAAAGATATCTACTGAGTGCAGAAGTCAGAAAAGCAATTCCTTGTTGAGAGGTTCAGGTCATGTTACATACTTATAAACCAACAAGGTCTCACTATTATTGACTTTCCCCCTAATTTGAAATCGAATGAGGTATATTTACTTCATTAGAACAAGATGTGTTCTTCTACCTGCTGGTTAGTTGTTATGATAACAATAATTTTGTTAGCACAAGATATCCTGTTACCATTAGCCAAAAGATTATCATAATAAATATTCAAATAGCCCAACTCTAGGCTCAACAAATTATAATAAAAGTATAAAAATGTTTCACAATAACAAAAATGCTACTGTGCTACTGAGATGTGATGCCTCATGCATTGGACAATCTGAATTGTAAGAGGACACCTTTAATTTAGTACATATTAATCAAAGAACTTCTGTAAGTTAGGTTTTGCAAGTTATTGGAGACAAACATGAAATAGACATAGTTTTAGTCTTTGAGGTGCTCATAATAGAACTTTCTCTATTTAATTTCTGTGTTTTTTTCAACAGAATTTCCAAGGAAATCATTCACTTGTCCACTTAACAAATAATTATCAAATGTCTGTTAGACACTAAGCACTTTTTTTCTAATGTTACAGAATACAAACATTAAAAAATGTAGCCAGGGCCAGCCATGGTGGTGCATGCCTGTAATCTCAGCAATTTGGGAGGCTGAGATGGGAGGATCACTTTAGCCCAGGAGTTTGAGACCAGCCTGGGCAACATGACAAGACCTTGTCTCTACTAAATTTTTTTTTAAATAATAAAACACTAGCTGGGCACAGTGATAGGTGCTTGTGTTTCTAGCTACTTGGGAGGCTGAGGTGGGAGGATTTCTTGAGCCTGGGTGTTTGAGGTTATGGTGAGCTATGATCATGCCGCTGCACTCCTGTGTGGGTAACAGAGTAAGACGCTGTCTCAAAAAAGAAAAAAACAAACAAAAAACCCAGGATCTTGTTATTATCATTGTCATTTTATTTATTTGCTGAATTATTTATTCAGTGCCTACTACTGTGGGCTAGATGCCCTCTGAAGCGTATGATGATCATTTATTGTGTTAAATATGTGCCAACACTTTATGTGGTGAGGAATGAAAGCTGTAAAACAGTGGGTAGGATTTAAGGTAGGCATGCAGAGTAAGTAGAACTTTTCTAGGTAAAGAGGCAGAAGGATGATGTGGGCAGAAGGAACATCTAACAAGATTGTGTGTTTGGCAGAAGGAGCAGCAAGTACAAAAGTCAGATGCTTGAATGAACTTTGCAGGGTTTATGAGCAGTCCAGTTTTACAAGTGCAAATCATGTAAGACATGAATGGTTGGGAATGAAGTGAATACCTAAGGCAAGCTTATGACAGACATCTTTTCTTTTTTTTTTTTTTTAGACAGAGTCTTACTCTGTCATCCAAGCTGGAGTGCAGTGGCATTCTCTCGGCTCACTGCAAACTCCACCTCCCAGGTTTAAGTGATTCTCATGCCTCAGCCTCCCAAGTAGCTGGGATTACAGGCACAAGCCACCATGCCCAGCTAATTTTTGTATTTTTAGTAAAGACAGGATTTTGGCATGTTGGACAGGCTGGTCTCGAACTCCTCGCCTCAAGTGATCCATCCCTCTCGGCCTCCCAAGTGCTGGGATTAGACATGAGCCACCACTCCCTGCCCAGACTTTTTAATACTGTAGAAATGAGTAGATCTTTTCCTGTAGGCCATGGGAAATTTACCAGGTGGAATGCTTTGGGCTGCAAATACTAGATGACCTAACTAACAGTGGCTAAAACACTAGGGACCAGAGTTGTTTTGACTGTTCAGTGATATCACAGTGTTTTGTTCATGTCTCTTTTCATGGCTGGCTAATTAATAGCAGCTCCAAACATCATGGTCTCACTGACAATATCTGAAGGCTGAAAGGGTGGCTTTTGTTTACAGGTTTCTTTTAATTAGGGAGAAGACTCAGAAGCATGCAGTGGACTTCCGGTAACATTTTATTGGCTACCACATGCTCATTCCTAAACCAGGCACTGGGAAAGCAAATGTAATTACTGTGATAAGCTTAGAATAATCATTTCTTCTTTTGGAGTTGGGAGGGCTATTGGCATGATAAATATCCAAATAGACGTGTGTTTCTCCAGCAAGACAGAGTAGGGAATCGGGTAGGGAGACAGCAATGTTTACTGTAGGGGTTCATTGGAGAATTCTGAGCTGGGAGTCACACAATTAGATTTGAGTATTAGGGCATTCTGGTTATGGTATAAAGCAGGAATTGGGAAGCTTTTTCTGTACAGGGCTCTTTCGTGTGGTCTCTGTCATTCCTACTCAACCCTGCCGTTGAAGCATGAAAACAGTCATAGATAACACTTAAGCAAATACACACAACTGAGCTCCAGTAAAACTTTATTTATGAAACTATAAGGCAGACTGGATTTCGCCCATGGCCTGTAGTTTGCTGACCCCCTCATGTGGAGGGCAGCTAGAAGATAACCATATAAAGAGACAGGGAAACAAAGGAAGCGTTTGCAGTTATCAGGGCTATAGTTTCCTTGTCCTGTCCTCAGACTGGTAGCAGTCTGTTGTGAGGTTTTCAACCAGTCCTGGTGAAATCAAGAAGATTAAGGAGCTCAGTTATTCATTTAAAAATGTTGGTCTCATTCTTGGCATGATGCATTTTTATTTTACTTAAACTTTTTTTTTCCATTTAAGAAATAACATTAATAGTTGCTTTTTCCCTATAAAAGCCACTACTTAAGAACCCATGTTTAACTAGGAAATATAAGCATAAAATAAACGTGTGGTGGTGGAAATATAAAGCAGATGCAGAAAAGAGGTACAGTTAAAATGATTTAGTGATTATTGAATGTAAAAAATAGGGGATAAGGAAAAATCTCAGATGATTCTCAGGTTTCTGGCTTGTGCCCTTGCACTTAACCGGGACATGAAGGAGTAGGCAGTTTTCAGGTGTGTAAAGGAGAGCAGCAGGTCAACAGGCATGACTAACATTTCTCTCAGCATTGTTAAGTTTACTGGAATGTCCATGTAGGATATTTTTAGTATGTAATTGGATAATAGGCATTTATGGCTGGAGATGGAACTCTGAGGTTGGAGATGCAGACTTGGAATAACAGAGGCAAAATCATAGATCTGAGTGAGTTTATCCATGATGGAAAAGGTATAGAATGAGCAGAGGGCCAGTGACAGAACCCTAGGAATATCAGCATTTCCCAGAGGAGTTAAGAAAGAAGCCTGAGCAGTGGCTAAAGAGAAAGAGGAGAGGAATCAAAAGGGATGTTGCAAAAACTTACAAAGGTGAGAATTTCAGGGAGGGAGTATCAATTCTAACCGGTCAGACTACTAAAAAGTAAAGTGAGTTAACCTCTTAAAAGCTCTTCAGTGGGCCTGTCACGGTGGCTCACACCTGTAATCCCAGCACTTTGGGAGGCCAAGGTGGGCGGATCACAAGGTCAAGAGATGGAGATCATCCTGGCAAACATGGTGAAACCTGTCTCTAGTAAAAATACAAAAATTAGCTGGGTATGATGGTGCATGCCTGTAATTCCAGCTACTCAGGAGGCTGAGGCAGGAGAAGCGCTTGAACCCAGGAGGTGGAGGTTGCAGTGAGCCAAGACCACACCACTGCATTCCAGCCTGACGACAGAGCGAGACTCTGTCTCAAAAAAAAAAAAAAAAAAAAAAAAAAAAAAAAACCAGAGAGAAAAGCTTTTCAGTGG